GGTGGGCGGGCACTTTCGCTGTGGACAATTGGCAGGAAACAAAAGATTAAAAAAAAACCCCACCAACACAAAACTTTGCTTGATTGACTTGTAAAATCTGTTTGCATTATGTGCCCCCTGGGAACAGGGTTGGAGCCATTGAAGGAACTGGCATGTCCTGTTCTTCCAACCCTGGCCCCGTGTTTCAGGAGTGAGGTTGAGCAGCTGGCATTGCTGCTCCCTTTTTCCCTGGGATTAGGAAAAGGCAGCTGATGTTGCTAGCCAAGAAATTGGATTTGATTGATTGATTTTACCCCTCTTCCTCAATACTTAAGAGCCTCCAGTTCATGAGATTTTGACTGAAATATCAGGGACCCGCTGTATATATACCCCATAAGGTGCTAAAACCGTGGCAGCATTTTATGTTCCTGTGTGATTCCTGCTTGAGTGTCCTGCTGGGGAGACTTTGGGATGCACTTAGAAAACAGTTTTCCAAAGAGTTTTTGCATTAACTGAATACAGATTGCTATTTGCTATTTGGCAGCAGTTGCAGCAGTAGTGAAGGCTAGCCTTGATCTGAAGCCTGAGACAGACTTCACTCCCTGAAGGTCTGAGGTTTTGTCCTTCTTTGGTGTCTTTCTGTGGGGAAGAGCCTTTTCAGGAGATAAATCTTCTTGTTCATTCCTGAAAAACTCTACTCATTTTTGAGAGGAGTAAGACAGCAGAAATGGAAAATGAAATTGGTCAAGACTGTTGATATGAATGATGGTTAGCTAGAGCTGCACTTATCCTATTTTCTTTTGAAACCCCTGAAGGGGAGATTTTTTTTCCTTCATCTTCCCAGGCTTTGTTGCTCAATGGGTCTTTACCTGAGGATGAGCAGGAAGGGTCCTTTGAACTCTGTGAACGTGAAGCTTGCCCTGAAGAGCAGCTGGTGAGTGTACCACTGTACCTACATTTCTCTGACCAAGCTGCCCTTTGCATTCTTCTGCCACAGGCAGGTGTCTTGCACAATAATAACCATGGTATTTTACATTCAGATCATAATCCAAAGTCGTCTGGACCAGAGTGTGGAAGAAAATCAAGATTTAAAGGTTAGAGGGGGACAGGTGAAAAGGAAAGAGCTTTTGGGTCAAAATATCTTTGCAGACCTTGTCCTGCTTGCAGTGGGGTTTTTTGTTTGTTTGTTTGTTTGTTTGTTTTGGGGTGTGTGTGGTGTGCATGCAATGGGGATAGGGAGGGTTGGACAACACAACAGCTGACATGGGGGATATATTGCGTTAGGGCTCCAACTCTGCTCCCATATTCTGCTGTGTAGGATCTCAGCTCTGATGCTGGGAGAAAGCTATTTGACATTGCTCTGAAGGACAGATTTGAGGGACTAGGCAATCTTTTTCTGTTGTGGCTTTAATAGCAGGGGCTTAGGGAGCTGCTCAACTGTTTTGTTGTGTTTTTAACTCATAAAAATGGCTCAGAGCCTGACATGCTCTTTGATCTGTGGGAAAAGGTGGGATGTGCCGCCTTCTGAAGCAGGTGGCTGGGAACAGAGCACTGACTTTGGTTGATTCTGAAGGGGTGACAAGATGCCATTTAATCAAATTGTGTTGCATTTACAGAAGGAGCTACTGAAATACAAACAAGAAGCTAGAAACCTTCAGGGAATAAAGGTAAGGAAAGGGGCATTTCATAAAAAATAGATCGTAAAGCTTTAGAGTCTGCTGCAGTTCATAAGTAGAGCCAGCAGTGACCACACACCTCTGAGAAATCTCAGATTGTGGAGGGAGTTGTATTCAAGGACTTGAAGGTGAGGGATTCTATGCTCCGTTTCTGGCTCCAGGGAGAGACTGCAGTTAAGGCAGGCACAAGGAGTTAGGTCTCCTGGGTTCTGTTTCTGTCTGTAGAATTGTGGTCAAATGTTCCCTCTTGTCTGTTTCCCCTAAACAAAATATGAGGTTTAGGATGCCTGCCTGCTTCTCCTGGCTCTTTCCCCACCCTTCTCTTGGGGTATGCACAAGGATTGGCCCAGTGAACTCATTCTTGACAGCAAAGGAAAAAGAGCACGGGAGTATTCTTGTCCTCTTCAGCTGCGGCGTTTTTCACAACTTTGGCTCCTGCTCGCTCAGTTTCTCCCTCTGGAGTTCTGAACACGAATAATCTACTCCTGAGCAGAGGTATTTTTAGAGCTGCCTGTCAGGCTCCTGTGAAGGAAGCAAACAGCAGTAGCTGTCCAAGGTAAAGCTTTTGGCTTCTGGGTAACACTGAGTGAAAGGTGCAGAATTAGTACTGACTTTGACCTCTTCAGAGAGGATTTCATTGCACAACTAGGTCACACGGAGAGCTTAGGTTTCCTTGTGTCCTTGGATGACGTTGGCCTCTTTCTGCCCTCTGAATGCTGCAGATGCATGGCTGAAGACACTAGCTGTAGGCCACTTAAAAAGACCCTCCAAAGACACTGCTGCACTCTTCCATAAGAGTAAATTGTCAGGCTACTTCTGGAGCAGGAGGTTCAGGTAGAAGCACAGAAATGCCTCTGTCCCAGATGGCTAGAATGTTGGCAGAAAAGTCACTTTTGGGTAAGAGAAAGGCAGAAGGGCTGAGAGCCCATTGGGCAGGTGTCTATATACCTCCTGCTTTCTTGGACCTTAGGCAACACTTCAGCCCTGTGAGTGGCCCCACTGTGTTATGGCCGTGGGTCTAGGTCACTTGCTTCCAAGGGAAGGGCCTTTGCCGCTGTCTTGCACCTTCCTACAGATAACATTTTTTCCTAGGATGCTTTACAGCAACGGCTGATTCAACAGGATGCTTCAGTTCTTCAGCTAAAGCAGGAACTGCTGAGAGCAAACATGGACAAGGAGGAATTGCACAACCAGAACGTGAGTCACTGTGGTGCTGTGGGTTAGATTATTTTAGGAGGAAATTGGTGGCCCTGGAGACTCCAGCAGCCACAGAGTTGAGTTGGTGATTGCAGCACAGTTCTTAGGGTCGTGGGATAGTGAACAGCCAGTCAAAGGTCTCTGCATAGTAAAAACTGCACACAGTCTACTAGCCAGCTATGAGACTTGCTGGAGTTTCCTGTCCTTCACTCCCACTTCCTGTCCTCCACGACCTTCAGCTGAAACAGGGAGGGGCTTCCCATTATGTTGTCAGTACAGTTGCATTCTTCCTTATTGTACTCCCTGAGTTAGCAAGTGGCACTTTGACAGGTGAAGCTGCCATGTACAGTGTGTCTCTGGAGAGGGAAGGGCAAGGAAGGAACTGTCCCGTCCAAAAGGTTGCCATCCTTAGACACCAGTTCCCCTGAACTCTGCAGATGTTTGGTCTTGGGTCACACTTTGACACAAGGGTCAAAAAGGTCTAGGGATACCCACCTCACACATATGTGTTATTTCTGCAGGTTGACCTTCAGAGGAAGGTTGAAGAGAGAAACCGGCTACTGGCAGAATACAAAGTAATGGCATTTCTCTTCACTGGAGGCTCTTCTGGGGGCAGCATCTAGTGGTTCTTCAGTTTTGTGACTGACTGCTGTCTCCCTGACACTCAGTCAGGAATGGCACTGTGGATACGGAATAATTTGCAATAGCCATGGATGTTTGTAATGAGATGGAGGGATCAGATGTTCTTTCTGTTCTGCCCACAGTTTTTTATAGTAGATCATTTATTGTCATGTTTTTTTCTGTGATGTGTGGCTGAGTATCTAATACTTGTGCAGAAGCCCATCAGGTTAGGTTGGGTCATCTGATTGTCCACTGATCCTTCAGGAGTCTGTCCACTCTGGGACAGTTGTCTGGCCTCAGTACTGGATCTCTGGGCAAGGGGAATCCAGGCAACAACAACATGACCGATCTTTTAGGTAAAAAACCAACAAAACAAACTCCCAACAACAAACCCCCAACAACCCCCCCACAACTTTGACCCTCAGTTCTAACATCTAACGAGAAGTACACGCATTGTGTAAGTCAGCCTGTAGCGGTACCTGGTCCTGGCAGATGACATAACTTTCCCTGCTGTGGGAAGATGATTGTGAGCCTTGCTTGCTGTCCTGTTGATTTTTCTCGATTACTGTGTTGCAGAAAGATCTGTGCCAGAAGGATCGGCATTTACAGCAGCATCAGACCAAACTGGATGAAATGCTTAGGCAGCTTTCTGAGGCCAGCTACCAACAGGTATGGAGCAGGCAGGCTGCACTGATGCTGAGAGCTGGCACTTAACTTGGTGGCTCAGTTTGTGCTGACTCTTTTACTCCCCTCACAGGTGGACTTGGAGCGGGAGCTGGAGCAAAAAGAGGCCCTGTTAGCTCACTGCATGAAGAGAGAAGCTGAAGAGGTATGGGAAGCCTTGGTCTGCACATCGGACTGCTGAAATGATGTTTCTGTCCAGCAGCCTATAGTTACCTATGTCCAGCAATCATCCACTTCATCTCAGAGAGTCCTGGCTTTGCAATCTCGTTGTCAGTGCCTTAACCAAGGCAATCAGACTCCACAAAGCATCCAACTTAAAGCTCTCAGCAGTGAGCACTCTTGCTTAGCCTCTTGTGTCAAAATCCAAAGGGCTGAAACAGTGAGGGGAGCACAGAAGTGAGTGAGAAGCATTGCTCTGATGCAGCAGCAAGCCCCTTTCTGTCTCTGCCTCCTTTTCTTCACCTGTGTGAGAGGAATCATGGTTGTGTTCTGAACTATAGAACTGCCTGCACAATCCTTACTGAGCGTATTTATCTGGTGTAAGATGGGAGTTAGGTCACTGATGTGGAAAGTTTTCATGCCCTTTCATAATTTTGAAGGTCACAAATTGGGATCTTTGGGGAGGTCCTAGCACTTGCATTCTTAGTGGCAAATGCTTCTTCCCCTGTACAGGTGATGGCTTACAGTGGTCATAGTGCTCAGAGCAATGGCTTCCTCCAGACAGCAGGAAAAGGAGCTGCTCCCACAGCGCACCGAGGGGTAAGTGTACCTAAGAGATATGTTCCCAGCCAGATGCAGATGAGGGCTTCAGATATCCTGGAAGCTGTTATCTTCTTGAGACATTCCCCCTTTAGGACCTGTGGCTTTAGATGGGAAGAAAGCAGCCTGGAGTTAGTCTGACTGACTTGTGGTCTCTTGAGCAGACAAGTGACTTGCAGTTGGTTCGTGATGCCCTTCGCAGCCTCAGGAACAGTTTCAGTGGCCATGATCCACAGCACCACACCATTGACAGCCTGGAGCAGGGCATCTCCAGCCTGATGGAACGGCTGTACCGCATGGAAACACAGAAGAGGCAAGAGAGAAGGGTAAAGGTTTCCTAGGGCATTTAGCTCTTAACTTCACCCTCGCACACAACCCAGAGTTAAGCACAAATGAAAGCTCCTACTGGGAAGTAATGCCTTGTTTTTACTTATGGCTTTGCACCCTAGGTCCGGGGAAAATCACCAGCAAGCAGAGCAACAAATGACTGTAGGGACTCCTGGCCTCCCAAATCCAGTAAGTGCCTTTCAGCTCTGCCCTCCCACTGCCAAATTCATTGCTCAGGTTTCCTGGCCAGAGCACAGGGCATAGCATTCCCTTAGAAATCTGCTACCTCCAGCTTCTTACTCCCTTTACCAGAGCTCACTTTCCTCCCTTCAGTCATCTCCTGTACAGATTAGACTTTACTGCAAAGGAAAGTGGGCAGAGACAATCTATGGCTGCTTATTTGTAAAGCACCATCACAGTGAGAGTCTGTCTGGGCCACTTCGGTGGTACTGCAGTATAAATAACTGTGACCGATACCCCTGGGAGGAGTGGGTATTTTAAGCTTTTCCGCTGCTTTGCACCATCTAGTGGACACACAACTGTACAGTTGTCTCTTCCCCTATTCCTTAGTATCAGCTCCTTTCATATATGCATAACAGCACAGCCCTTTCTGATGTCTTGTTTCCTGGCTCCAGTTGCAGCAGCTTTTCATCATGAAGGCTGTTTTTTTTTTCCAATGTTGTTTGTAAACATCACCTAGAAAGTCTGAGGTTGTAGGGGACTGTAGGTACTGAGGAAAGACAGAGGCCCCTACCTTTCAGCTGCCTTGTAGTGTCCAGCAACAGGGTACCATGTACTGGACTGGGGTACTGTTCAGTCATTTTCTCTACCAGAAAGGTTCTTCTGTCACTGCTGAGGTAGTGAATAGTGTCTGTGGAGTAGATGGTGGGAGAAGCCCCTCTCTAGATGAGATGGTAATCATGGTGGACAGTGATAGGGAAATCTTTCATGCTAACAGCACCGTTGGATAGTGACCCTACCTTCAAATGCAAAGTTTTCCAGTAAGCGGAGGAGTACCTGGCCCTTCCCAACAGGGATGATCAGGGCCCCTAGTAAGAATGTCTTCCCATCACCAGGTTCTCTGCTGCGATAGCAAATTTGCTGAGACCACCCGTTTTGTCTCCTGTTGTGGCAGGAGATAAGCTGTTCCCCAATGACTGTGCTCTTCTGTTTGCAGAACTGCCTCATTCTCACAGCACACCCGTGATGAGCACCAGTGCCTGCACCAAAGTGTTGTACTTCACTGACCGCTCCCTCACACCTTTCATGGTCAACATACCAAAGAGGTCAGGTCTGGCTTTGCCTTGCTGACACTGATGTGAGAAGTGCTTGTTTCCCTTAAAGCGTTAGTCTGTAAAAATAAATCAGGAGGCAATTCTTCCTCTCAGGAGGACCTTGGGGCTGACAGGTGTGTTCCTGGAGGGGTACACTTCACACCTCTGTGGTCAGGGTGCCACATGCCTAGTTAGACTTGGGCTGTGACTCTGTGTTCCATGTAGAAACTCTTGAGCTAAATCAGGTAATGGCGTACCATGTGATAGTGCCAAACTCTTCCCTTGCAGGTTAGGGGAAGTGACTCTGAAGGATTTTAAGGTAGCTATTGATCGTGAAGGAACCCACCGGTACCACTTCAAAGCCCTGGATCCAGAGTTCGGCACAGTCAAGGAGGAGGTAAGTGTGGAATTTGGCTATCAGCCTAAACATGGTTTATTCAAAAAACATTATTCTACTTTCTTTTAAAGATTTTTCCAGATATAATGGTGTTTGTGGCATCTTTTCCTTTGTGTACTGCGCTGCAGCTGTGTTGTGCTCAGGCTGGTGGTGGTATGGATTGGACTCATTAAAGGTTATTGGGATAGTTCTTGTTTTGCAAATTAAGAAAAGCGCAAAGGGTTATCCTCTGGGAACAGGCAGCTGACTAGGTACCCATTCTGCAGAAACAGCTAGAGATTGCAGTCTGGATCAGAAAAACATTGTTTCCTGTCTTTATTTTACCTTTGCTGTCAAAAACATGCTAATAATTATATTGGCAGTTACTGGTTAAGGGGACTTAATCTGTTTTTTACCTAAAACCTGAAGAGATGACTCAGACATGTGAATGGTGGACCAAGTGCATGTTCTCTGGGGTGCGTAGTGAAACCTGAGCTATGATCTCTGACTTGATGCCTGCTTCTTATGCTACTCATGCTGTACAACAGTGACGTCCAGACTCCAGACATGACCGGACTCCCTTTTCTTGTAGGTGTTCCACGATGATGACATCATTCCTGGTTGGGAGGGGAAAATTGTGGCCTGGGTGGAAGAAGACCACGGGGAGAATTAATCAAGCTTTTAAGTCTCGTCACTATGGAAACCTGTAACTGGCTGCTGAGCTCAAAGAATGACCAAAAAGCATGTGTGCTGGAAGGAGTCCAATTCAAGCTGCCAAAACAGAGGGCTTTTCTGCAGACAACGGGAAATGCATGTTGTGAGCATGGACACCTGGCATCTGACTTTCCATGGCCAAATGCAGACATTCTGAGACTGAAATGACAGGTCTGTGGGAAAGAAACATCTTGTTTTGTCCTGTTAACTAAACCCTGAAGGCCTTAATGATGCATTGCTCCCTCCCCCAGCTTCTCCATTCCTGCAGTATGTGCCGCAGATTGTGATCTGGGCATTTCAAGTCTGGATTCTTGTACATGATATTACATTAATCTGCACTGATGGCGAAAATGTGAAGCCTTGCCTTCATGAGGGAGAAGAAGACACAAGATTATGCGAGCTGAAGGTTTGACCAACTTTGGTCCTGGACTTGCATGTGTTGCAGGAGCAGAGTGAACTTTTTGGACACTGGGAGGGAAGACAGTCTTCTGGAGGCTTTACATGTGGTCTAAAGCAAAGATCACCAGCTTGGCAAAACTCTCTTTCTCCCAAACTCAGGCTTCCATTTCCTAGCCCTGCTTTTCCCACTTGCTTTCCAAAGCTGCACTCACTTCTGAGGACCTCTGCATTTGCTTTGTTGCCATGGGAACTGTGGGATCTCAGTGCTTGCTTATTTGCTGAAGGATTTAGTTTGCAGGGGAGCTGAAATCAGCTGCTTCCCTGAAATATTTACAACCCCTCTCCTTGTTGAGCCTCTCTCCCTGCACTCCTGCCCTCTCCTTTTTCAGCGAGGCAGACAGTTTGTCACCTCCTGTGCACAGGCATTGCATTGTGCTGCTGTCCACTCGTTGCCAGGGCCATCAAATACTTATCCACACCAGTAGGATAAACCTCATCAGTTACATGACCAGTTCCCTGGTGTGCCTGAAGGATCAGGAAATAAATGTCTGTGTGGAAAAGTTCAAGCCCTAAAATCCCCGAGGGTGGGTTTTCCTTTTGGTTTTGTGGGTTTTCTTGTTCGTTTGTTTCTGCTTTGCCTGTCTCTGCCCTCCTGCTGACAGTCAGCTGTACTTCCAGAGTGCTGGCTGCAATGTGCAGCGGACACCGTGACTTAAAATGTCAAATGGCAAGTCACGGCTGTGCTCATTCTCAGTACATGTGGTCCTTCTGTGGGCTACCTGTGTGTCTGTGTTCTGCATGAGGCTGGGAGAGGGTGAACCTGGTTTTACTGTTTTATATTGACATGTTCTTTTGTAAACATGTTCCTGTTCTTGGAATTATTTTGTACCAGTTTACATTTGTCTGAGAACTGTGCATATTTTTATACTAGTGCGAGTACGTTCTGTATATTTCTGCACGCATTATACTGTGTTTTAATCACTTTCTAGTGGATGCTGAGATGTTTTGTATTGTCTTCGGCTAACACAACACTGGGCTTATAACTTTATTTTACTATGGGAATCCAACTCGTTCCTAATGGGTTTCAGCTTTTTGTCAGCTTTAATAGGCAGCAGCAATACTATTTATTTTTCTCACTGCTTCACTGTCCAGGAAGTAGCTCAAGGCTTTTGTGTGGCTCTGTGCCACATTGGCACAACACAACATGCCTCATGTTCTGCACAATTTGAAATGGTGACTTTCTCTTTGCAGAGAGCAGTAGGAAAGTTCATCAGTGTGCTGCAGGGGGGTAATACATCTCTTCTGGAAAAGAAGCAAAGATTTTCTTCCTCCCTGGAAACAGTGTTTCTGTTGCATGATCTCTAGTGCGTTAGTGAAGATAGCATGGGGTTGTTATACTGAAATCAATTGTATTTGAATTGCAAATTTTTCAAGTGTTTCTTTCTTTAGGTTCATGAGTTCTAGCTATGTGCTCAGGCTGGAATGTTATGGAGAAAATTAAGACTGTTTTCAAGGTCTGTAATTGCCAGCTCCATATCCCTCTCTGCTACTCAAAGATGAGCAGTTTGGTTTTGGAGCACCGAAGACCCAGGAGGCTGTTAATACGATCAGAGCTTCTAATGGGTAAGCCTTTAGTCCAGCCTTGCCCATAGCTATCCAGTTTCCCATGAGGAAAATGTTAGCTGATACAGGAGACAGCCTGTTCTTGTGCTTAGATCAGTTCAGATAACTAATCATGGTCACATTTACTACCAGAGAGCTAAAGACTGAATCCTCTATGGAAACACATGCTCTCCAGAGCATCAGTGAGCTACATTTAAGAAGGAGTAAGACTAGACAAAAGGCTTCCTTTTGGGGGCTGGCAGTCATGTACCTTTCATCCATGCTAACATCACACGAAAGCTGGGACAAAAGAAGACATTCCCTGAGACAGAACTGATAGCAGTGCTCTTGTTCTTCAGTTCCTATGGGCAGCTCCCCTTTGTGGAAGCAAAGGTAGGATTGCTGGCATTGCTGTCACTGGAGCTGAAGGACCGCTGCTGTGATAAGCTGTATCCCACACACAGTTTGGGTTTGAGCTTTATTTCTCTACTGACACTGCAGCCTTCTTCGGAGTCTTGACCTCTGCACGATTGACAGAAAGGGGTCTGGCGGAGGTAAGGAATATTAGGCATGGGGATAAGAGGTATCAGGTGGAAAAGCTATTGGCCAGATGTTTCTCTCTGGTAAAAGCAAAAGATGTTGCTGTAACATCAACTTTGCACTGCTCTAACACTGACTTCAGTGGATTTACTCTGGGGATGTACTCTTAATATCATAGCCAGGTCTTGTATTTTTCACAGTTTTGAATCTGTTGATTTCATAGAATCACAGAATGGTTTGGGTTGGAAGGGATGTTAAAGATCATCCAGTCCAACCATTTCTGTCCAACTTTCCCAGTCCTAGGCTTGTAACTTCTGTAACACACATGCCACGTGTAAAATTCCATTTTTGTAGGAACTGATGTTTGCATTCATCACTTCGAAAGGGCAGTTATTCTAAAGCCTGTTCTCTAGGAAAGTGAAGCTTTATCTGTACATCTAAACCAGTCATCTGTGACTGGCTAGGCCTTGAATTAGTGGACCAAGCGGTTATCTCAATAAAATGGGGTTTGCAAATGGAGTCTGTTCGGTGCTTGTGAAAGGGAATAGGGCTTTGAAATGAGAAGGCACAGATAGGGATAAATGCATAAATCATGCAGAATGCTTAAGGTTACTCTCCTGTTGGTCCTGGAGAAAACCTTTTCTATCACTATTCCACAGTGTCTTCGGAAAGCACCTATTTTGTGAGACCTGTTAGATTAGCAGGCTTACAGTGGGATTTTATCGTGTGTGGCGCTAGCCACCTACGCACACTGCCCATGTCCCTTACAGCTCCTTGCAAAAGGAGCCGCCGGCTGCTCTGCAAACTGCGGTAC